TATGGATCTTTGTAGTGTCAGTAAATGTATTTGTGATGGTTGATCTGAATCAGTAGTCACTTTGCTGTTAAATGGTCAAAAGCAACCCCATGAGGCAGACATGATGAAGCTATCCTAGATCTTTCCTTTTGGGCTGTTGACAAAACGCATCCTTCCCCAAGCCGTTTCATTCCTTTTCCTGCATGGATCAAAAGTTCACACAGCATGCAGCTCTGAAGGTCTCTCCACTGAAACCAGATCTGATTAAATGTCTTTAGCCGGAGAGTACAAACTCACCTATTTCACGGAAGGGAAAACACTGAGGCCCCGAATTAAACAGATAAAAAGCTTCTCCGTTCTGTCTCACACAAAATAATTTCCATTTTACATCACGCTCACATAGCGAGTGGTAAATGACATTTCCCGGGGCCAACTGTTAAACATGGTCCGCTTCACACACAGAGATAAAATGCATGTGGATGAAAACAAACTGTCTTGTCCCTCTCAGCTCTCTCTGTCTAACTCCCACTTGTGCCCTTTAATATTCTAAAGCTAGTCAAACTATTTAAAGGTGGCATTAAACTCTGCCTGCTGCTTTCATGTGTCCAGTGAATATCACAACAGCTGTAAACTGCTCTGATTGTAACCTTTATGTGATATTCTTTGAGTTCAATATGTTGCCATATTTGTTCATAAAATACAATTCTTAATGACAGTGAGTGTGGGGGTTTAGAGATAACATGACAGGTTGTGATTCTTACTCAAACTGACAACTTTGTCAGCATGAAGCATGTGTTGACAGCCAATGAGACAAAGGTGTTTAACCTCTCAGGGCACTATGAAAGAAAGCAACGTTTAACACATAATATACAGGGTTTTCTGTATAATCCATCAATGTATATCATAATGATCAAATCAGGAAAACATTGTATTCGACCAAAAGTAGTTTTTCCTGTGAAGGGTCTGTTCTTTTACACACCATCAAAAAGATGTCCAGAGTCAAGTGGTATTAAGCATGAAGGGAACCTGCAATGTTCATTAAAGGAAAAGGTTCAAATATATCAGAAAACAGCAAGTTACCCTGTAGTTCTTATCTTGAGAAGATTATTCCTCTATTAGAAAGCTAAGAGAAGTGATGGCTCTGTGGCTATTTTTCCGCAGGGAAGGATGAGTGCATTAATACGGCATGCCGCAACAGCCAGAGGACTAGCATGGACCATGATCAGGAGGGCATAACTCAGCTTGCAGCTTGGGTAAATGCTCAGTTTGATACATGCAGCAGATTTATTCCAGGATCCTTGAAAAGAGGACGTTTTTTTATCATTTATTCCTTCATCTACCATTTCCCCATCCTGCTCCTGATTCCAGTCATCTAGCAAGAAGTCCATCCCTCTCTCTCCAACCCTCACCCTTTCCCTCCACGACACGTGGAGATGGATGGACAGTTGTGCAGGAGTCCTTGGCTGAACTGTAGAAGTGCTGACGTGGTGCAAAGCCCTCTAACAGCGTGATGACGTCTCTATCTGTCTCTCCATGATGCACTCTCTTTCTCACACGCATATACACACACTCACAGGTGCATGTACAGATAGGTGCCTCACTTACTAATGCAAGGCTCGACATATACACAGAAAAGTGCAAACTTGCATGCCTCATATCTGCACACAGATGTATGTGCTCACATGAAAATGCACGAACACAAATTACATGGGTGTGTATGCATGGCAGAGCACATACCTCTCTATCGCCGCCTGTCCATCTACTGACACCTTTATCACTCCATCCAGTCTCCTATATAATCAGCATTAGTCTTGTCACTCCCCAACCATCACCAACACAAACGCACTGATACACACACTCTCACACACTCTCAAGTCAGCTGAGTGATGTTGGAGTGTGTATTTCTCTTCTGCCTGTGTTAAAGTGAGTCATCTATCCTTCCACAGCTTCATTACAACCTGCAAGGGCAAACACTATCTCTCTCTCTCTCCCCCTGCCTCTCCACATGGAGGGAGAGAGAGAGATATTCAGTAGATAGAAGGTGAGATCTCCCCCTCTCTCTTGTTCACTCATCTCTATTTTTAATCTTTCATTTCGACATCTATTGCCTTATATCTTGTTTTTTCAATCACGCAGTCTTTCTCTCCCACCTGGCCTTGAGCAAGTGCCAGCATGGGTTAGGCAGCCTGTGATGTAAACATTTTACCCGACTGAAAAGCGCAACAGAGTCGATGGATACACAGGCAGGTGTGGCCAAAAGTATGTGGACACCCCTGCCAGGTAAACTGTTAGTTTGGGGCATGTTTTCTTGATTTAAGAATGGCCTTTAGCTTAATAATAATAATAATAATAATAATAATAATAATAACAATAGCACACAATGATATTATGTAGTACAAATGGCTTCCAACTTTACAACAGTAAGAAAATAAAACTAGAATTAACGCCAAAGTTAACAAATTCCTTCAAGTTGTTGCTCTGATATTGCGTTCACAAGAATAATACCTCAGGCCAAGTATTTGGTGGTGGAATCACAAATAGAGATCATTCTCAGACTTTCATGTTAAAGAAGAACATAACTGGCTTACAAAGAGCGAGCCTGTTACTTAGTTTATAGACACAAATGAATGACTGTTTTTTTTAAAAATAACATGTTCAAAGCATCACATATCAGAGAAATGTTTAGGTAGTTTATCCTGACAGACAGATAATGTAACACACAAGGTAAAAGAGGTATTAAAGAGAGGAAAGGTCATGTTTCTATAGCGGGATACAGAATGAAAGACGTGAACAAAGAAATGTGTTTGTGTTCTTACCGGCCTCTTGCAGCTCAGACAGAGATCTTGCGTAGAAAGCGTCCATTTTGAGGCCCTAATGTTAACATGAATAATGCATAAGTAAAACCTCTTGTTCTCTAAATGTTAAATGTCTAGCTGTTATCAAAAATAACTTCATAGAGCATTCGCAGGTTAGCACGCAACAGAGTGGCTTCTGCAGTACAATACAGAGAAGTTCAACTTTGATTCATCATTTTTACTTTCTGAATTTGTCCAGCACCACTGTCTAAACTGCACATCAAAACAAGTCACTTTGATACTAACTGTTACTAATGTATTCATGAATGCATTATCTGATAAGCAAAACAAATATGTTATTGTTTTATTTATCACAAGGGCAATACATATACTTCAGGTTGTTCAACTGGGACCCTCAAATAAGACAATATAATGGCATGACTCACTGAATGGTTGAAAAACGATTCAAGTCTTCAACTCCCTCTACTGGCTTGCAGCACAGGCGGATAAAAATGTAGTGATAATGTTGCATCGTCACCACTGAGGCGTCTCTTCAGTCGAATATCAGACTGCCTCCCTGAGAAAGATTACAACCAGTTGTTAGAAAATACACCAGGAAAATACTGAAACTGGAGGAACAATGCTTTTTTTGTTCCAACTGCAATACTCAATGATCAAAGCAGCTTTAAATCATTTACAGTCACGACAAACAAAAGAGCAAAAAGGCAAATTGATATTGAGCTTAATATGGTTAAATGGTTTGGGGAAAACACTGTAGTTTAGGGAGGAGTTAAAACAATTAGACATAAGTTTCCTATTGATCGCTTCCAAGGTCTCTTATCCCAGCAACAGTCGACAGGCTCATTACTCTAAAAGACAACCTTATAGACAGTAAGGACTGATAACGCTGGATCAATGCCACTGATCAGTTTCCACCACAGATTGGAAAAGCACACAGAAGTAGAATAGACAGAAAGGGCATTCTCATTAAATGAAAGATTTCAAAGAGCATTTAAGCTGCTACACAAGAAGTAACCTACAGGATGTTATGTTTGCCCAGACTCTGGGAATCATTTGAAATCCTAGTTCATTGAAATACTTCAGCCATAGATAGAGGTATATCTTTTACAGTCCATATTTGTCACACTAGTGGACCAGTGTGGCTGTAATACTCATTATGCACCACAACACTATCAATGGATGAAAAGTAGAAACGTGCTTTTCTTAGTGAGGGTAAATGTGGAAAAAAGCATGTAAAGTTTGGCATGTGTGGAGGGTGAAAAAATAGAGTCGATGGCTGTAACAAGATAAACACTATGCATGTTTGCCTAGTCATAAAGGGTGTCATTATTACTGTGGCCATCCTTAGCTTGTCAGGTTCTACATTAAGACCTACAGTAGCTCAGATTTATCTGTCTACTCAAAACTGATAAAAAGCTCAACTTTAAATCAGGTTCAGTTGTTTCTTTGGTGTTTTGAGATGTTAGTTAGTCATAAGACCCCATTTAAAGAACCAGCTGTTGATATCTACTTAGTAACAGTGTTGTGATATCCACTTACTAATCTAAAAAAAAGGCCAATGGTGTAAACACACTGAATGAATACAAGTATCATTAAAGGCTGTGCCAGAACTTGTTCAACAATACTAGCAGTGCCTTAAATTACAACTTGCATTGCAATCATTAGGCATGTGCCCCAAAAAGGCAGTGGCAAGTATTTTGAAAGATGTTCTACCTGTTTTTAACCTGCAGATACACTTCCATTTATTGTAAAACCATGGAGCGTGTTGTAGCTCGACATCTCACTTCCCCCGGCCACTTAAACCCACTTCACTTTGCTTACAGAAGTTGCAGAAGCACATTTATTTGTTTAACATCATTGACATTTAATGCACCCTATAATAAATCAGAGTACAGGCCTACTTTGGGGATTGTTTTTATTTACAATTTAAAGACCTATCTGCATGTCTGGTCGAATGTACTTATTGTAAGTCGCTTTGGATAAAAGCGTCAGCTAAATGCAATGTAATAATGTAATGTCTCTCTCTGTGGTATGGAAATATGGACTTTGAGTTGTTGTTATTTCCTCACCTATTCTATCATATTCTTCTGGCATTTAGCAAGCATCAAATGCATAGGGCCTCATGAGTTGGCAAGAAGCTTCACCACAGAATTGGACTTTTACAGGATTAGCCAAGGCAAGTAGACTGACGTCAGTGTATTGCTTCATAACTCTGCATCGAAGAAACTCATCCGTCAGTGGCAGCGTGGTCAAGTCTGACAAGTTAGCCTGACTGCTGCAACACCAAGTGGCGTCATCCGTAAACTATCCTACCTCCAAGTTACTGTACGGATATTTGAGCTTTGGGCGGATTGTTTGGCAACAGTTCACTTCCCACTTCTATGCCACACTACGCACAGAGCAACAGGCATGCTACCATCAGAAGTCAACCGTAGAGTTGAACTTTAGTAAGTTTAAAGTTGTTGTTTTTCTCTGTCAGTATGGGTGACTCGGACGCGACTCTGAGAAGAAGGGCGACTTTCGCAGCAGGGTTAGGTGGAAGTATGCAGCCGATGAATGGGAAGTCTGCAGCGGCGTCTCAGGGCTCACTGACCGCTGACTTTGGAAGAAATAATGGCCTGGGAAAACGAGACCGTATGGTGGAAACAGCCCGGGCAAAATCAAAGAGTGAGAAACATAAACGCAGGAACGACATAAGTGAGAGAATGAGGTGAGTTTTAAAGCTACAAAACAAACTGTTGTTTAGTCCGAGGAAAGTTTAGTTTAATATAAAAGTTAGACTTCAAAGGGCTGACGACTGACGTTACATTCACTTGAAGCTACTTTTATTAACATCCTATTTAGTCAGCATGACTTTTGAACTAGTTTGAGTGCAGCAGACAGTGTGGGGTTAAATGTTGGACAGGGTCGTTTGAGGTCGCTCTGAACCAGCCTTGTTGTTTTGAGTGTCTTTCATTCATACTTTAACCCCATTTTTAGTGCTTCTTGGCAGAATAAGACACTTTAGAACTCACCCTGCATGTCCAGCGTTACTCCAGGTTGCTTCATTGATTAGGGGCGTGCCCGAAAGTTCCACCATGAACAGGGTGACTTGTGGGTAAACGTAATCCCCTTAGGTTTAGCCTAAAGGCTTTTTATAATGTAATTAATACCCTGTGAATTGACTAAGCACCAGATCAGTCATTTAAAGAGCAATAAATCAGTACGAATTTATGTTGTACGATTATTTTGGTGTCCTATAATAAAATGTGTTTGACAAACATTTAACCACAAACTTCACCATTAGTTGTCTGAGCAGCTGCAACAACCTTTTTATTTATTGGGCGTAGCCTAGTGTTAATAAAGCCTAATGTTTTAGGCTGGTATTTTCATCTTCCAATCTTTCCTTTCTTACTTTATTACATGTAATGTCTTGTCTTTTATCTGGACCTGAGTCTGTAATAAAAATGTTGATTGATTGATTTACTGCCAGCAAATCTAGAGGTTAGACATGTATGTTTAACAGTTGTTTAGTATTTACTGTTGGATTTATAGTTGATTCGTGAGTGAAATTAAAATAAATGTATCTTAAGCTATTTATGATGTTCATTGCTTCACCCATTAATCTGTTTTCTTTCATTAGCTGTCATAAAACACAGGAGTCCCTGCTGAGTTCATCCAGTGGTTTCAGTAACTACAGAGGAATCCTAAACTGGTGTGTGGTTATGCTGGTAAGAAAAAAGTGTGCATAGAAATGTAGGTTGGATATAAATGTTCACCAAAGCCATGTCCACACCAGGATAGGGCTGAACAATTATTTGAATTTCTTACGAATTGTAATGTGGACTAGTTAATTATCCAAATCACAGGAGCTGCAATATTTGTTGAAGGCTATTTTGAATATGCTATAAATTGATACAGTGATGCTGAGGTCTTCTTAAGAAAATAACTATGTTTGGTACCATTCAGCACAAAATCCCACCAGGATCATTTAAATGTATTTTTCAATGATAATGACAATATGGATGCAATAATTACAATTCCTTTGAGCACAGTTTGGCTTATTTTTACAAGTTAAATTAAGTTCTCAGGTTACTTTATTCATAATAAGTGAAGTACCAGTAAAACAACAACTGTGCCCTTACATACTGTAAGTAGCCTTGTTCTAATCCGATATTATCCAGTTTTGTTTTCACTAATCTCAAAACAGAAGGAGAACTAAGCAAAAAATACACTGGCATGGATTAATACATTAAAATATGTCCAAATGATATACAATATAAAAGTATAGAAAAAAATGGTCTTATCAAGGGGTTGTGTTTGACACAAAGACTTTGTGTTTCATTAAATAATCAAAACGCAAATATGTATTGAGCTATTGAAGTTAGCTCCCATCATAACCCTTTTTCTTGTTACAATTAATTTTCTTAAAATATTAAATTACGTGCAAGAACAATTCAACATTGACAACAAGTTAATGTCAAGCTCAACATCTTCCTCCTCTTCCTGTGTCGGGAATAAGCGAGAGAAAAAGACAAGGCTAGCCCTTCTGTTAATCCAGGCTTTGAACACAGATTGTTTTGTTCATTGCAGGAGTTTTATTTTCTCCATTCTCACTGAACTTGTCCCATCCCCAGTCATAGAGCTTTTGTGCTGGGTAATGAGATATACAATCCATTTAGAAAGACCAAGAGAGAGAAGGAGAGATATAAAAGAATGTGGGTAGGAGGATGAAGAGGATTGGAAATATGTAAAGGAGAAAATAGATGAAATATAGGGGAGCAACAGAAAGAGAGGTAATGGAAAAATATCCATTTATTGAATTAGAAACATAGAAATCAAGAAACGTAAAAACTACAAAGGTTATTGTGGATGTACATGCAGGCAAGAGACACTGAACATTATTAATTCTTGCTCTGTGTTGCAGGTTTTGAGTAATGCTCGCCTCTTCTTAGAAAACCTGCTAAGGTGAGTACTGTACGTTTTTTTTTTCATCCCTGTCTTTTTCTACAGTATGCCTGTATCCAGTGTGGCCTTTCTAATGATAATCTTGTTAACCTTTTTCTGTAAAAATATAATTTTCCAATTTCACAGTACGTGTAATCTAAAACTATACTTGCCAAGTAAAAGGTTTTCCAAAAAATTATCATCTTTATTTTGCACGATTTTACTAATCGTGTAATCTAATTGATCAGACACATTTTGATATCTCTCCTAGTGCAAAGGTGAAATTAATTCAATTAATAAAACGAAAACTAAAGATTTCCCTGGTAAAGAAAGTGTGTTGTGTGTAGTTCTTTAATATGTTTTACTTTGAAGAAGATGGATAACATAAATTGTCTTGAAAATCAGCTTCTGTATTTGGTTAATATACATTTGATTACATTCATATTTGGATTTGTCTTTTTCTTCTTTCTTGTTGTTTGTTAGGTACGGCATTCTGGTGGACCCTATTCAGGTGATTTCCTTGTTTCTGAAGGATCCCTACAGCTGGCCAGCAGCATGCCTTGTTATTGGTAAGTACAAACATGCAAAAACATGAGCAAAATCATATTTACATTTAGTAACATTAAGTGCTAAATTTTAATTAATGTTTATTGTTTAACTGAACTGTGTTGAAACAGTGGACATGTTTTTGGTTGTGTGATCTCACTTGTTTCCTTTTCTGATAAGCACGCAGGCACATACCATATTCAACGTTTTTTTGCATATTTATTTTTATGGTATATCGCAGTGAAAGTCTGCAGTGGTGCAGCTTACAGTGTCTCTAGAGGGACAATCACCTGCCCTATATACTATACTGCACCCTGCATGTGCTGCAGAGAGAGGAAGGGGGTGAGAGAAATGAAGAGCAAGAGAGGAGAAAGGGAGATGAGTGGGGGTGTAAGGAGAAAAGCTGTGGGGGGGTTATTAAAATGGAAGAGAAAATGAAGTGCTTTATGGTCTATATAGAGAGGGTTGGTAAGAGGGAAAACGGCAGGGTTGAAAAACAGAGGTAAGTTGGAAAAAAGGGATAATAAAGGAGTGGGGAAGGAAGAAAGAGAGGGTCGATGTGAAGTGGTGCACAGGGTAAGAGGAGAGGGAGGGAGGGAGAGAAGGATGGAGTTAAGGTTAATGCCCGATGGCAAAGAGACAGGTGGGAATGGGAGTCTGTTTACAGTAGCATGGACAGTAGAGCAACTCATTCCCAGAGGGCATACTGTTCTTTGAGAGTCACTGCAGCAGACACACACACACACACACACACACACACACACACACACACACACACACACACCACACACACACACACACACACACTCCCACACACAAATACCAAGACAAAAAGCAAATTAGAAGGCCACAATTTATGGTAGCCTAACAGAAAAGAGGGGAAAGTTTAGAAAACCCGTGTATAAAGTTTTACAGTTAGGCAACTGTCCCTGGGAGGAACCTAAATAAAAATGAAACTGACTCTAATGTAAGGTATCTCACTGTCGTTTAAGTCTGTTGGTGCCTGAAAGACTCCCAAAGGCTGCTCTGTGCAGGTGCTAAATGGCGCTGTTTGTTGCAGTTTGATGCACAAGTAGGCTCAATAGTTGCTGTTAGTCAAAGATGCTCAACAGGCCTGTATCCAAAATAGATTTAAAAGAAACATTGGCATGAGTGTGCCATGAGGTCTTCTGCTATTCAGATGGGATAGTGTCTTTGTGTTTGATGAAGAACTAAGAATTAAATAAAAAAAACTGTTCAAATTCTCTTTTGGTAAAATGTATGAAACAGTCATGTTGAAGAAAGGAAGTGGAACTTTACTTCTGGATCTTTTTCAGTGGCTAATGAGCACACTTTCTAAAATCAGGATATTGTTAAATCCAAAGGAAGTTCCCTATTATTTACTTCCTATTAGATTTAAATGACGTGTGTACTGTATGTGTGTGCACGTTCATGCACACCCATTTATTTGCCCTGTCACTCTAACTAACTAGCAGTTGGCGTGTGCTGTGTAACACATATGTTCTGTTAGTGCCGGCTCATTTCTTCCATCAGGTGTTGATGTTTAATCATCCAAGTGTGTGTGTGTGTGTGTGTGTGTGTGTGTGTGTGTGTGTGTGTGTGTGTGTGTGTGTGTGTGTGTGTGTGTGTGTGTGTGTGTGTGTGTGTGTGTGTGTGTGTGTGTGTGTGTGTGTGGTTCATCTACCGTACAGTATCTGCTCTGAGAATAAGAGACTATATCCCTGCAGATAAAGCAAACAAATTGCCAAATTGTGTTGTTGTGATTGTTTAAGTGAAACAGCAAGATGTTGCTAAAAAGGCAGGTGTAGAGCTTAACTTAAATACTAAAAACAAACCAGTGCGCCCATCTTGAATCTTATCAAATTAATAGAAATAATTAATAAATACAGAGTCAAATTCCTACTTTCATGGGTGTGAAAGGAACTGTTAAGAGAAACTGATATGAATCTCTCTCTCTTGTTGTGTTTTAATAGCCTCCAACCTGTTCATTCTGGTGGCTCTCTACACAGAAAGGCAGCTATCAAAGGTGAGTGGAGAAACTTAAACATCAGAGCACTGTGGATTTTAACTGAACTGTAGAATTTGGAGCACTTTCATAACTCCAAAGAGGGATTTTTACTAGCTGACCCTCCCCAACCGCATCTGCACATGTTCACCATCAGCATTTAGGGCATATGCCACTTTGGAATGAATATGGAGCATCCTGAAAACTTCATCCGGCCACCATCACCATAAATGTGGGTCAAAGCAAAGCAATACTTTCAATTGTCATGTTTAGCCACTATATTCTACTTAAAATAATAAACTCACAACAAAAGACTAAAGTTCAAGCATCGGCACACAAACTAAAGACGTTTTGTTGGAAGATTGTGATTACAAATTGTAAACCTTCCTGTCTTTAGTTTATATAGTAAAACCTCCTGCTCTCCCTCTCTTCCTCTCTTTCTTCCCAGGGTTCCTTCACTGAACGTGTGGGATTTCAGGTCCATTGCATTAACATGGTAAACATGCTAACATTCCCTGCTGCAGTCGTCCTATTGGTCCCCTCCGTGACCCCAGGTAAGATTTTTTTTCACTGTCTTAAGATACCATCTCTGCAGCCTTGCTTCTACCTACCGTTCATAATAGAGACAAGTAGTTGACTAAAATAGTATCATGTATTATGCAGCCAAAGCATTATCCAGTCATTGGTAGTTAACAGTGTTTCCATGTGTATAAAGCAGGAAATAATGTAACTGTGATAAAGATTAGGAGGACATTCCCATCCTTGCCCTTCAGAGAACAGTCGACCAGTTTGATAGTGCAGTAAAAGACATATCTTATACAGAGCCATAATTGGAGTCGGTTAGTGGTAATGGACCAGTTGGTCATGACTGGATTATTTCCAGCTGGCTCTTAGGGGAAGAGAAGGGAGGAGTGCAGAGGAGAGGAGAGATGCCAAGGTAGGGGTGTGGTTTGCAGCACGGGGTCAACCAAGGGTCACCTTCCTCTGTCTTCATCAGGCTGCCTGACAGAAACCATGGCCGCCCTCCAAAAACGGCACAACTCACCTATAAATAATTAACAATTTTTTACAGATCATGATTCACCAGCACACTATATGTCTTTGAGTGATTCATTTAAAGCAATATATCCAGTTTTGGTAATTTATGTTGTCTGATTGCTGCTTTGGTTATGTGAAACAAACAAGGACGATCATTTTTGTTTAGTAAGTAAATACTCAAGAGGAAGCCAGTGTCATTCATTTGCATTCAACAGGACATGTGACTGTCACCAAGTGTTGAAAATGCAATATAACAAAGATTGTGCTTCTTTTTTTTAGTACTAATATGTGTGCGAAAAAAGAGCATATTTCTGGTTTGAGGGCTAGTTATCCAACTTGCTGAACATAAAATACAAATCTTAATCCAAAGATCACATTTCTCACTTAACCCAACAACATTCCTCAGTGTTTCATACCGTTATCATATTATACTTAATATACAAAGTCTCAGTCCTCTTTTCCTCAAACTTTAGTTAGGGCAACTCAAACTCTACCTTAATCATGAGACACATAGTTAGTGTCTTATGTCCTCTTGCAATTGGCACACATTTTAAATGATCATCTAGCTAAAGAAAAATTATTATTGTACTCCCAATTGGGTATATCTTCTCTCCTCTCTTCTCTCTTCTCTCCTCTCTCTTCTCTCCTCTCCTCTCCTCTCTTCTCCTCTTCTCCTCTCTCCTCTCCTCTCCTCTCATCTGTTCTCTCTCTGGGAGGTAAAGGAGTCAGTCCATCTGTGTGTCTGTTCCCTTCTCTGCGCTGCTGTTCACACAGGAAGGGCAATGACAGAGGGTGTGTGTGTGTGTGTGTGTGTGTGTGTGTGTGTGTGTGTGTGTGTGTGTGTGTGTGTGTGTGTGTGTGTGTGTGTGTGTGTGTGTGTGTGTGTGTGTGTGTGTGTGTGTGTGTGTGTGTGGGTCTGCATCTACTGGGCACTGCTTATGTAACCCATATTCAGACATTGTACATAAAGCGGAGTGCAAGTATCGGATTTCAAGCTACATTTCAAATAGTATTAAATTCCTTTTCAAGAATACTGTAGCGATAAGGGGATACTATTATCCACCGTCATTATTTCATTATTTACACTGCTTTTAATGTCCTTTAATCATTTGTACAAGTGGGCTGCAAGGATTGTCTTTGTTTAGGATGAAGAATAGAAGTTTTATTCTATTCACAAATACACTGTGGTGTGCATACAGTGAAGCATTCTCAATTTGCTCTGAACTGTGTGTAAACCACACTCTGCTTATGCAACCAGTATTCAACCATTGTGCATTAACCAATGGGCTTATAGGTATACAGTAAGTATTACCTCTACAGTTGATTATATTGAAGATGTCTGTCTATATCATTACAACCTCAAGCTCTCTGATGTTCCTGATAGAAAATAGTAAATATGAGTAAATTATCTTTGGACATGCGTATTGATTCTTATGGAAGACAAATACCTTTTCAGCTTTCTTGAAAGAAGGTTCTCAAACAGCTCTCAGTGTGATGAATGAGCAAAGAAGAAATCCTCAACACAGCAGAATAACTAAGTCAGGTGCTCACCCAGAATTCCCATCTGAGATCCAAACTTCAATTATTATCCATATTACACATCCTTGAAAGAAATGTGTGTTTTTATTTTTCATTTAAGCTCCACCTCTCACTGTTTCTATGATTATTATCAACAGTAGCTTTCTTTGTAGCAAAAATCTAGTTGTCTAAAAGCTGCAGAGAGCCAGAGAGACAGATGGTTAATGGATAAGATCTGCTGTGGTTTGATGCCAGGTGTAATGACCTCCACATCACCCTACTGGCACAACAGGCCGTTTTCATTTGTGTGTCTCTGTACGAGTGTGTGAGTATATGCTTATTGTATGTGTGTTTGTTCCCCTCTCTGTTCAGCATGGTTCTTTGCTATCAAGCATATGGTGACTATTGATGAAGCTGTGCTAGGCCTGTGTGTGTCTGTAGATGTGTACAATCACACGCTAAAATGTGTTTATTTATAAAACATCAAATATATTTTTATATTGACTCGTAAAAAGCACCGTTTTCGGGGTCCACACACACACACACACACACACACACACACACACACACACACACACACACACACACACACACACACACACACACACACACACACACTGTATGATAATGTCCTTGGCATAGTTAGACTGCACTCATACTTTAAGCTGAGATGATTTATTTTACTGGGCTTGTTTTGCCGTTTGTTCCAGATCAAATAATGACCCTTTTTCTCTCATCATTTTCTCTTTGTTAAATCATCCCTTCTCTCTATTTGTTTTCATCTTTATTTTCTTACTTCCTGCTCCCTTTCTCCTCCTCTTTCCCCTTACCCCCTCCTCCCTTTTTCCTCACTATTTTCTACCATCTATTAGCTTTCCCTCATCTCTGCTTCCCATCTAAACGTCTAGGCAGTATATCAGTTTATCACAACACAGCTTACTCCACATCACAGTGTTAAATACAATCTGTTGTTCTCTCTCTCTGTGTCAGTTGGCGGTGTGTTCGTTGTTGGGACTCACACCATCCTCTTCCTAAAGCTTTACTCCTATAAAGACGTCAACAAGTGGTGCAGAGAGCTGAGCAGTGTCAAGGCAAAGAAACTGGTCAGGTCGCTGTCTTGTAAGTCACAAAAACATGTGTACAAAAATAATCATGTAAAAGGTAGTTTGCATTCTCTCTTACATAACACCCATTGAGATTGTCTTTGCTCATTTTAATAGCAGTTAGTATTTTTTGCCTGTTACTGGCTCATGCTGTTACAGTGACATCTAATGGCAGACAGTTGATACTACATCTCTCACAAATCGACAGTTAAGCACACAGGAAATGTCCCAATACTGTGTGGAAATCTTGATTATGTAACAAAAAAGATTGTGGGTCATCATCCACACACTCATCATATTTTCTCTGTATTTGTATAAACTTGTGTATACCACTACATGACCAGACACATACTTGACATGCATGTTTTTGGATTCATTCTGCCTGCAGGTCCCTCAGCGCAGCACTTAAATGGAGGCGACTGTAAGGTGTGTTACCCTGGTAACCTCACCATCAGAGGTACTCAAACACATCTAGTTTTTGTATGAAACTTCATCAATTATTTTTTCTAACATGTGCCACGCCTATTATTCGCGTTACATTTTTCTCCCATATTTAACTAACTATCACATTGACCTCTTCTCCATCTCTGTAGACATGTACTACTTTGTCTTTGCTCCAACTCTGTGCTACGAGCTCAACTTCCCTCGCTCTCCTAATATCCGCATGACTTTCCTGCTCAGGAGACTGTTTGAAATGGTGAGGAAATATCTCATGTCAGCTTGAGCCATAAAAGCATCTCCCTAAAAGTACTTAAAAGCAAGAAGACCTATAGCTTTTGAGAGCTTAGTATTTGCTTTGAATTTTGATGAAGAACATAATGAAATTCCTTTTTAAAGTCATTTGCTTATTTCAGGGAAAACAATGTTTTACATGTTTGTAGTTTTGACTTGTAAAGACACAAAACTAAAAAAGTTCCTGAAAGTGGAACATTTTTGTTGTTTTTTTTCTTTTCTGATGTCATGTCTCTCTCTTTAATTATGTGTGTCTTTGTCCTCAGCTGTTCTTCATGCAGATGTTAGTTGGTCTCACTCAACAGGTACAGTCTTATAATGGAACTAATGTGTTATTCTATATTTAGTCTGTCCATTCACATTTTGTAATCACATATATTCACAGTAGTTTGTGATTACATTGCCATCATTGCCAGAACAAGAAACATGAAAAAATGACGAGTACTCTTTTAAAAAGATTGCCAATATGTACAATTCACAGTTTATGGTGCGCATCTGAAAAACTGATTTTTGCTGTGTTTCTTTTTCTTGCACCAGTGGATGATTCCCATCATTGAAAGTTCCATGAAGCCACTAGAGGTGAGGAGGATAGAGTGAAAGTGAAGCTGACAATTGTTGGTAAACATAACATGGTGTCATGTTTTTTTAATCACCCGGTCTCTCCTTTCTCTGTAGGACATGGATCTGACCAGGATGACTGAGAGACTTCTAAGATTAGCTGTAAGTAAATACTCAAAATCCGTGAACACAACATGTCATAGTATGTGTGAGTCTATGACCAACACAAAGGATGAAATGGAATAACACATAGATAGAGCATTACAAAGTGCAACAGTAGTATGAATAATCACACGATCAGAAGACAACCGGTTTTATATTTAAAATATCTATCAAGAATATATATGAGAGTATAGGCAGGAAACATGCTTGAGTTATGCCTCAGGCTTCTTCTTGATGTTAGTTTGGACAGTTCCTCTTAAATGTCTAATTTTTATTTTTCTTCTTCAGGTTCCTAACCACTTGTTGTGGCTGATGTTTTTCTACGGGTTCTTCCACTCGTCTATGAACTTCTCCGCTGAGCTGCTGCGCTTTGGAGACAGACAGTTCTATAATGACTGGTGGTAAGTTTCTGCGAGTGTGTTTGTATCAGTGCATTTATACAGCAGTCCATTTATTTGCTTGGGTGTGCATGAGAATGGATTTGCAAGTTCACTCGTAAAAAAAAAAGTGTATGTAAGTAAATTATGTCAGTACTTTACAAAACGAATAGACCAGGAAGTCACCTTATGTATGTACTTTTTTTATATTACTAAATCCATTTTATGACTCAAATGTGCTATAAAGTCATTTCTACTTCCTCGTTTCCTCCATGACTATAAAGGTTTCACACTTTTCATTTTCTTCAATATTGATCGTATTGCCTAGATCCATTGTTTAAACTTTAAACCCTGTAAAACTGTTTAAACCCTCTACACTCTATTTGCTGACTCCTCTTTCAGGAACTCGGAGACGGTGACATATTTCTGGCAGAACTGGAACATCCCTGTTCACAAGTGGTGTCTACGGTGAGTTATTCACACACTCACACACTGAGAGGGAGCAATTACATTTATAGAATTGAATGTAGGGAACAGCAGTGGGTTTGATGCAGGGAGACAGACCTAACAAGACACACTGATGTATTCTGGAAATTGATTCATCTGGCTGCTGGAGAGTAAGTGCTAGTAATAAATACGGCAGCCTGCAGCCAGTTCCACAGTCACTAACACAGCAGCACGAGCGAAGGCAGCGAGGCTATATTGAATAAGACAAAGCAAATGAAATGCTATTTAAAGCCTATTTACTTTGAATTCCTGTCAGGGAGGCACAGCACATAAAAGAGTTAAGATATTTCAACATCAGTATTATACAAACAGATACAATATATCCATTTCAACAGCTGTTCTTTTGTCTGTCTTGCAGCCACTTTTACAAGCCCCTGCTCAGGAGAGGATTTAGTAAAATGGTCAGCCAATCAGCTGTCTTCTTCTTGTCAGCTTTCTTCCATGAGGTAAGAGCTGAGACAAAGAACACTTTCTATTATATTACATCTGAATACACTGTACCTTAGGTCCTTAAGGTCCTTGAAAATCCTCTTTAAGGAAGATGTTTATGTGCAATTTCTCTGATTATATTTGAAAGGCAACCACATTTCTTTGCTTTAATGATTTCTGTTTCTCTGTCAGTATTTGGTGAGCATTCCTCTCAGGATGTTCAGACTTTGGGCCTTCACGGGCATGATGGCACAGGTGAGACTCAACACACATATCACTGATGTCTGACATTTTTTTACTGTACGATTAAATGTAATCAATTCCTTCTTAATGGTTGAAAAGGTGAAAGAAACAAGTGTAGTTTAGCTAAAAGTAGTTGCGCATCTATGAAATACTTTATTGATGGAGGCCAATAATGGTTCTTTTGACTCCTGTGGGACATTTTAAAATGTGTTCTCATTGTTTAGCCTTGTCTTCTGTATCATTAACTTAATTTATAACCTCATTAGGATGACAGGGCATATTTGATGTATCATGGGGAATATAGCAGGACAATTGCTAGTATAAGTGGTTCTTGGTCTTTGCTGACTTTGACAGTTTATTATTCATTAGAGAGTGCTGAGTCATAGACAACAAGAACAAATACAGAGAGAATGTGAGACTGTAATAAGTCATAAAACCCCAATCACTCACTATGTTTAACTTTAATTTGCTTAATTAACAGATTCCATTAGCCTGGTGTGTTGGTCGCTACCTGCGTGGTAACTACGGCAACGCTGCAGTGTGGATGTCAATTATCATTGGTCAGCCTTTCGCCGTCCTGATGTACGTCCACGACTTTTACGTCCTTCACTACAGACAGGAGGCTGACTGATGTGCGCGCACACACACACACACACACACACACACACACACACACACACACACACACACACACACACACACACACACACACACACACACACACACACACACACACACACACACACACACACACACACACACACACACACACACACACACACACACACACACACACACACACACACACACACACACACACACACACACACACACACACACACACACACACACACACCTTTGTATCTTCCTGCAATTGGTGTTTTTTTCTTCCTGACATATTTTTTCAAGCTGACAGGATCTAAGAAAAGCTTACAGTTGGATTTTATATGTATTTAAAGTGGAAAATGTTAAATGAATCATTGAAAACAGCACTGTTACGTAACTAGGTAGCATAGGACAAGCTTCACGTCTCCATGCAGTGACTGGTGCAACTTTTTACTCAGGTTATTGTTCCTAGTGTCTTTTCGGTTGTATATGTGGTACTGCAGAGAACCTTTCCTTTATTTTACCAGAGAGGGTTTGCTCCTCCTCAGCAGTGTGCTTGGACTGTGTAATGTGGCTCAATTGTCACGTTGACAACACAATTCAGGTGCCTTTGTAAAAAATGTGAAAGAGATTAATGTCCCACTACTTCCTTTTTGTGGGCAAAGGGGCCTTTATGTCAGGTTTTACTGTGAGGTGGAAAAATCTGTGTTTCATGGTATGATTTTAATAATGTACAATTATAATGTTTTGTATAATGCTTTACTTTGTTGGTTATGAAAAGGCCAGCCAACTGCTTGTCTGTTTGTCCTTTTTTATGCCTGAAGTGCAATTTATATAATACAGCGCACACACATCACATCAACATTTGACATATATTGATTTATTTTAGTTTGAATGTGATATCAGTGAATGAGTGTTTTTTTTTTTCATGGTACTGGCTTATGGACTTTTGCCAAGTAATGATATCTAATTATGAAGCTAAATATAATGAGTGTCTGAAAATAAACATACAAAGATTTCCATTTGACTCTTACTTTTAAGAATGTGTTTTTTGTTTTTTCCATCACAATATAAATTAAACATTTCAGATCATAATTAGGTAATCATCATATTTTAAGAACATTTAAACGAAGGCAAGATAACTGCCTCTGATTCAACAATGATCTACTGTAGTGTACTGCTGTATTTACGTACTATTCCTAGAACTACATTATCAAATTTAAGAACCTTTTAAGGACTTAAGGAAGAAAACCTTACCTCAACACTTAACACTTTCAGCCAGCAATTATTCTCATTGAATCTTCTCACCGCTCTTTAAAGGACCCTTGTGCTCCAGTGGAAACAGCGGTCTCATTTTAAAACACTACCTATGTATGTATTAGTCTGACATCATCTTAAAGTCATTTACATTAACCATATGCTGTGTCGCCTTGAATTCTGAAATTCCCTCATATTAGTTTCAGTCAGACATTTATCAAACTACATGTTAAATTACTTAAAACAGTCATACTGTAGGTCAGTGGTATTCGTCATGATTAGGCTACCTACCAAGCTTAGTAATATCTATCTAGGTGAAAAACATTATTTTACCAATCTGCCACAATAATATGTTTGTGTGCGCGCGTGTACAGGCGCGGTGTGCGTATATAGATTTGTCATTGAAATGTGAGAACCGGACTGTGAACCTGTGTTATGTCAGCCTGACAGTGAATTAAACAGCAAGTCTAAGGTATATCACAGAGTTTCTGTAGGCGTGTTTACGTGCTCTCTGAGCATGTGACATTAAGTTAAACAATCGTCAGTGAGGTTTAGAGAGGATATGTGACAGGAGACGTGGCTTTGGGGCTTCAGGATGTATGAAATCAGCTCACACTTAGAACATACTACCTTGTGTTTTGCATCAATCCTTTTCTTTTTTGATTCTTAGAATTAAGATTTATATAATCTGCAAAATTATTTGATCCACTGTGTAGGGAAGTATGCTGCGCTTGTTGGATGTATAGGCTAATTTAAAAACTTTCTGTAAACAAGCACACGACTATTGACAACGTTTGGAAAATGCTGACCTACTGTGTAAAAGTAAGGTGGTATTATTATCAAAAAACCTAGACCCAGCATGTTCAGCATCACATTGTAAACATCATACTATGTCATTTCTTTAGGGGTCATTATAGTCTCACTCTGTTGAACATAAATACTCTGAAGTGCTGGCTGATGGTTTATAAGCAGTGAGATGTTCTGCTCGCATCTCAACAAGAAGGATTTGTGCAATTATTTGTACTTGCAATCAATTCTTCACGTCGGTCCGCCACCAGTGCCAAAAACGTAAGCTTTCGCTGCAGGACAACCATAATCCTTCATCCATCCCCGTCTCATTCCTGACAAATAAACCACGAGAGAGACGGCGGGGGAGTGGAATAAAAAGTACAGAATCCTCGCCATTTCTCGTCTATCATCAATATTCCAAAGTCCTGATATAAACAAAGCTTTCGAGTTCCCCTGGTTGGACTCAGTCACACATTTCTCCAACTCTCCCTGTACCTGCAAATGCAAACATATAATGATCAATCTGTCATTTCAACAACTATGCATACAGATATACTGTACCCACTCTGTCTTCCTATTTATTTATTCTTTCTTACACACCTCCTTTTCCCACTCTCTTCTTTCCTTTCGGTCCCTATCCTGCACCTTCTCTTTGTGCTTGTCCTCAGTAACAGGTTGATCCATGGCTCTTCTCCTGACATCCGTTATTCCGGATCTTCCCGAGAAACGCTGACAATCTGTGAGTGATGATGATCCTCTAGACAGGAAACCAGGAAACCTGTCTCATTCTGTGAGATTGATCGAGCGTAGGTCCAGAGACATGCTATAAAGACACTGAGACTTACATTTCAACATAAGATTTGGTCAGGCATTTGTTAATTTAGATTCATATATTTAGATGATACACCAAAACAGTTATACAGTTTGTCCTAAATATCAGTTTAAAGGACGTACACCTCGTAAAAACCCTGACATTTATAATTATGTTCTTCCTATTCACTGATTCCTCAGATTTGACAAAAACACACACATTTTCTGGCAGCAGGAAAGAAATGGGACATCCGGTTAAATTATTTGTTGCTTTGGTCAGTCCTCTGCCCCCTCCTAAGATAACCTCTACAATAACTATATTACATAAACCGAATCGTTGTGTTTATTTTTAAAGTTTCATACGCTGATTTTATGTTCAGTTTCAATCCGGGATTTTTCCACCATTCAACACAGTGGAGGTTTTATCATTTTGATAGAAGTTATCAAGAGGTTTCTAGTTAGTTCACTATAGCATACACAAATGTCAGAGTCAGGATAAAAAGTCAATCAAATCAGTGGCAAATCACTCAGCTAAACGAGATTCAAATATCTGCTTTAAGATCTCGTGTTTTCGATTTATTATAATATATCACTGTGAATCATGACAAGGCACTGGTCAGCGCAAACATTTATGATGCATTTTTGTTTGTCTATTAGAAAAAAGAGAGCTTTCTGTCTTTGTCATCCAGTTCAATCACTTTTCATCTCAATTCAAATGTATCATAAGTTACAGATTGGGCCCGACTAGATACATTTCCTTCATAGAAGACACCTCACGTATGGTATTTTAAAATAAAAAAAGACAGAGATCTATATATGCATCGACAACTTATACAATTTAACAATATAACAATTGATTTTTCCTAAAATTGAAATTAATCCAATCCAACTATTTTTATAAAGCACTTTAAACCCTCCAGACCAAAGTGCTGTACATAGAAATACAACATCACATCAATTAAAGGAAAATATTATCTTAATATAATTTTTTGGCACAGAAAAAAGATTTAATGTAATTTATTCTAATTTCTCTTGAAATGTAATTGTTACGATCTCAGGCACTTAGGATGTTGGACCCTATTGCAGACAGGGAGACAGAGGTAAAGTATTGTAAGATACTTTATTTTTCCATGACTGGCAAAAATGAACAAGAAGGTAACCACCAAAACTCTAGTCGAGATGACAAAAAACAGAGAACAAAAAATGAAGGCGCTCACGCAGTGAGGAATCAAAAACCTTTCATGAGTACCAGGAGCATAGACCTTAACATGACAATAGAACTGACACTGAACACTGGGAGACAGGGGAATTTAAACACAGAGTAACTAGACACAGGTGGGAACAATCAGGGGCGGGGCTGACACTGATGAGCACAGGAGACACACGAGGAGTGACAGGTGAAAACAATCAGGAAATTAGACACACCAGGGAAACTAACGACAGACATGAAAACACAGGGAAAAGATACCAGACAATATACAGGGAGGAAACATGACAAGGAGAACAGAAAAACACCCACACCTAGACATAGACACGTGACATGACATAATAATCCTGACAGTAATGTGCTGTGCAGGATTTCACAATGATTACATACCATAACACCAACTCCATTCACTGATTTAACACGTAGACCCTCCATCACTTGTGTTTTACAGTAGTAATTTAAGCATAAGCCTTAAACATAACAGTGTTTGATGGTTTGGAAAATGCATGGACCCTCACTGTATATAACATATTAATGTATGAGCTGTGCTTTATGCATTGCGTGCCCAAAGATATCTGGTGTGCGTAGATTTGTGCATGTGTGCTCCACAATTGGTGTCCCGACAGAATGTAAACACATATTAAGACTTCCTGTCTGAATACCAAACTTAAGGAAGATTTTTAGAGTGAGAGGGAGGGAAGTGGAAAGAGTCATTGAAAAGAGAGCGAGAGACTGAGAATGATGCTCACAAGGAAAGGAAAAGAAGGTGAAGAAGAAGAAAGACACATTGGAAGGAGTGAGACGTACAACAGTAGAATAAATATCTGAGGATGCTTTAGGAATGGACGCACTGAGTAACATCAGACAGGCTGACAAAGTGACAGAAATGAAAGGGATGCACAGATCTGAAGAAGTGTGTTGATGACTACAGGAATCTGAGAGAAGAGACAAACCTGACCCACAGACAAGAGAGGTGGATATTTTTACTGAAAGGCTGAACCTGCTCCAGACCAAAAAAAAGCGACTGACGTGAGTGGATGTTCAGAGATGATACAGGGGTGCACAGGTGAATGAGAGTTAACGCATCCTCTTTTGATCGGGAATCACCTGGTTGGACACTTGGACATGAGGAAATATCAGCTTCATTTGACACAGATTTAAGCTGTCCCTGGGTTAGTTTGGTGGTTTGACTGGTTAGTCGCTTTCTTTAGAGGTAAGTGGTTTTCAGCATTGGATAAACTGTCCTCAAACAGTATATTGTTTTTCAAAGAGAAAAGGGGAGACGTAGCTATCCTCGCCGAAAATAGCACAATTAAATTACAAAACCAAAAATCATTATAACAGGGTCATAATAAGTCCCTGTCACAAGTACATTCAGTGAATAACTGTTGGGTTATATAGACTTGATGAGCAAGCAACACTATCCATTCATTATATTTTAATATTTTTTTTGTTTTGTATGCATTCTTCTTTGTTAAACATTAGGCTGTCTTTGGCTCCTTTCTGCTGTAACAAATGTAAATGTCCCCTCTGTGGGATGAATAAAGGCATTCTGATTCTGATTTACCAGAAATTGAAACAGTTATTATCAGGGTTAAAAAAAAAGTATGATCATATTCCATCCCAGAGTTTGTAACATATTATGCACAGTACATGGAAAGAAGCCAGTGAACTTTCATTGCAAGTGAAAGTATCTCTTAAAGGTCACCTATCATGCTATTTATAGGCAATAGCACATGAAGACAAAATGGCCCAACTTTTGAGAGAACGAAACGTCACAAAAGTATTCATATAATCAATCCGTTCTTATTGTGCATCCATGGGTAAAGTTAGAACTCATGTAGTACTGAACACGTAACATGAACGTGCCGGGCGGCGGGGCCCCGTGGGTTAGATCCTCGTTCAAATGATGAGGAAAATAACTCTCAGAATAACGTTATTAGCACATTTTACAACTTG